AAACAACCTTTTTCCATTCGTGAATTCGGTTGTGCACATCAAGCATAAACGAGTGAAAATGTTGCCTCTGCTTCTTCTGTGGCTTCTCTATACAGTCATAGAACAGGTCCATCAACATAGTTTTTCCTGCGAATTTCGAATTATACCAACAAATAGACTTAGTCACGGATTCGAAGCATTTTACACAATTGGTTTTTTTGAAGTTTGCATCAAAAGGCATCAGTCAAAGTAAGCATCAGTCAGCATATATTGCACACTGAAAATTAGTTACTCGAAGGCTACTCAAGTTAGAAATGATGATTCACAATTCTGACAGTTGCTGTGGTACGTTATGCGAATAGGTGTAGTTAATTCCCTTGAGAGTTTCGCTGTGTCTGCGATGAAAGAAAACTGTAAACGCTTTGCTAGGATAAGCAATACACATTTATTTTCGTTACGTATACTCCTCTGCTGTGTATTCTCACTGCTGTGTAAATTGTTATATTGATAAGAGAATGGCAATTTAGAACATGATACCTTGTCATCAGTCCGCGATATTTAGATCCTCATCTTCTTTTTAGAATATGACAGTTACTGCTCAAGAGATGGTAAGTACCGTGCCGGAGGACCTGGGGCATATATTTAATATATCTTAACTGTTCAATGGCATACCTAGCGTTGCCTTTAAGAAGATTGACTTAACAGTCACTAAATAATGACTTGAGACTTGCTAGGCTAAGGAAACGGTGATGGCGCTTGCATGTAACACGTGGTCGTAGCAGGGATCTTGAATTCAGTCAACTTTATTGCTACATCTATGGGCAGCTTCTTTAGATTTTATAAATACGTAGTTCTGAACGCGGAGCATACTTATGATTCTTTGACGCGCCCTCCTAGCCCCCTTAGTACCTTTTTAGACTTTCATAGGATGGGCAGCCTACTCATAAGTTGCGTTTCCGTTCGGCCGTCTTATCGGAACTTCATTACATTTGCTTTGGTGTTCTATATGCTCATTCCATTTTCACAAGGTTGCTATTATTCGAATGCATAGCTGCGATTCGTTCATATTATTCGAAGCTATACATACGCGTATATAAACACAAGTTACTTTCGACACTGTAACCGCTGTAGCCACCCGTTCATTATACAGAAAGGACAACAAGATAAGAGTCACCTTGCCATACCCCGCTTGCTGTTGTTGTGCGTGGTCTTGCAACTAATCTCTCATCTATTTTGACGAATTTTTCACTCAGAACGTTATCTGTGAGCATGCTTTTTGTAGGCCAAAAACCTGGTATGGTTTGATACATGTTTTTTTATTAAATCGCTCCAGTGTTTTTGCCATGTCAACGAGTATTTAACAATTATTAATAGTAATGATTCCCGTGGCTTATACGGTATTTGTAACAAGCGGAGAATATATCTTTGGATATTTTATCTCAGACAATCTGCAATGACGCATTATTGGTCTTTTTAAGGACCTCTTATATTACCTAATAATTATAAATAGATAGACTAGCTTATGTTCAGCAAATTACATTAAACTCAATACAATAAACATACAACTATCGCTTCTTACATTCCACAAGACCATAGAAGCCTTTATTGCTATCAGTCTGCTGATAAAGTTACCAACCACTTAAATACTCACCTCTGCCCACAGCACCATAAATGTAGATCCCCTTTGGTTTAACTAATTCCTTTTTGAACCACTTTGAGAAGATAGTCTTCGGCTGAATTTCGTACATTCTGTAATTTAAAGCATCAAATATGTTATTATCGAAAAAAAATTAACTCTAGTTTGTTTTGGCTAATACTTCCAAAAGTCACACGCTTCACTAGCGCTATCCCATGCATTACAATAAAACCGTTAGTAAACAAACATAAAACATGCGGCTAAATACAGCTGGAAAATTATACATTCAGTTTTCATTTGCAGTTCTTCCTCTTGAATAGCGTAACGCGTTCAACGCTCTATAATAAGATATATAACATAAGTTCAGACGAACGCAGTTGTGCATTCTAAATTCATTTCGCACTTTTTTTTTAACTAATACAAGGTGCATTCCGCTTATTTTCAAGCAAAAATTTATATCAATGTATTTGACCCCTTAATAATTAATAAGCTTATTTCAGGAAGATACGTATTCGTATAACTCGCCAAATTTAAACAAAATCCCAGATATAAGCAACTCCAAATGACTAAGATATAGTCACTTCCGGCAAACTTACCGAAGTTGGTCCTGCAGATCTTGAAGCAGCTGTGCTACTCTAAGCTGATTCTCGTCTTTCTCAATTTTGCCTTTCTGAACCCTCTCGCAGTATTTGCCTAACACTCCATCTAAAAATCGTAGAAAACAATGCGACTTCATCCGTATGCAATATACTTCATTTTTCACAAAAACATACGAAGGGAAACTTAAGCGAAGCTCAGATTATTTCGGGGAGCAAACGTGACGTACGCAACACAAAAGCGTTATTTATACATTCTTCACTGCAGTTTTTGTGGTTTTATTGATGCCACTATTTAAACGCTATAAAAGAGAAGATATTTGTCAATGGATATATATTTTGCTATTAGCTACTAATTTGTTTATCTTTATTAAGCATACTTGAAGGAGTATATTTAGTTTAGTATAAATGCATGGTTGTTTTTAAAATAACCAAAAGTTTAAAACCGAAAACAAACGAAGGTTTGAGTGATAAGCAATTTAGTAAGGCACTTCAGCATAAGCCAATTTGAGCAAACAATGCCAATTTATGCACTGTACTATAGAGTGCGCTTGGTAGAGAATGCCGAGCGTATTTACGTTTGTAGTAGACATTACTTTCCTCTGGAGGCTCCTGATTAGAATGACTTTGTCCTTACAATAAACACATCAGAGTAACCGCAATAAAATACATTTTTCCTGTAGCGTCTTAGCATGTTGAAGTTAAATTCAACGTTGGAGGATGTAAGCGTTTATTCTTCATTATTACGTCATTAAACCCTCGTTGAACCAGTTTATTACTGTCATAACAACAATGTATCAAGATACTTACCCTAACAGAACAACATTATCCAATAAAACATGTAAAATCGCACATTCAAGCATTTCTATAAAATTACTCAGTCTCAGTGTGGGACAGTATTAAGACCCCACGGTTACGGACCCAGCATACTAACCCTGCCACCGAAGTAGTAGTTTCAGATAATTACAGATCTGTGCGATGCGCAGGCAAAAAAAAATTAATTACAATCACATCGACGGGTAAATAAAAGTCACATAGGTTATATTTTATCAAAAAGCGCTCATGTATCCCTTCGGACAACATGTCATGTAAAAAAAAAAAAGCAAAGCCTTCGTTATTCAAGGTAAAAATAAACGTTGCTATTCTTAAATGTCTAGCTGATAGTACACACAATACAATCGCAATAAATTAGAAATTGACACAGCTAAAAGTTATATCAAGTATCAAAACCATTTGTGTTGTTCCATTTTTCGATCAATAGTAATGACAACCAATGAAGAGTGATTACCTGCATATAGATTCGTTATACCAAATGGACTCATTGTCGGTAATTGAATGCCATTTTTCGGGAGAGACTAAAATATTAAAAAAAAATGTTCAGTAGTTTTAGTTGCTGTGTGGGCAATGCAAAGGTTCCGCAATCCTCAATTATTTTTTCTATTGCAAAGAAACAATGGACACATGATGATTTTAATGCGTGCACAGCATAAGGAGAGTGTGGCATTTAAAAATCATTGTAAACAGTTCTGCCGCTCGATTAGGTCAATGCGTATTGGCCTTGACAGGAAAAATAATAAGCTGTTACATGATAGCACCATATCACCCAAATAACTTTTCCGGAATTATAATAGTAATAATAAGTGTACTGTTGCGTCAGTACACGTTTGTGCATTTATGCCTGCATGACACTTAGCTTCAATAGGTATTACTTTACAACAGACAGGATGCGCCACCGCATCAAACGGATTTATGATAGCTGCAGTTTGTGCCAGCTAGCTATATTTAATATTGAGCTGGTGTCTCTTCTAGTTAACGTTTTTTACGCGGCAATAAAATAAATGACAAGGTCAACTGATAAACTGTTTATATTCTAACCTAACCGAATTAATCATTGAGAACTATTTTCCATAAATCAACTAATGTAAGAAGGTAGTCAACGTATATATTCAACTACATTCAGCCGATCGAAGTATATCTTTTGGAGTTTTTCTGTCGATGTCCAGTCGCAAATTTGCGGCAGTATTGCATCGAATAATATCCTATGTTTTTTCAATGCCATGTAGAAATTAAAAATAATATTTCATGGTTTTCATCTACGCTCACTAGAAACGCCTAATGTATAACAAACACGAATGCCAAAAATTTGCTCATCTTTTGATCATCAATTGCATGACTTATTGCAAACTTCGAAAACGAAACTTGGCGCAATTTAATTTCCTCTGCACCGTCTATGGGACCTCCCTCACCGGCCGGATGTTACGGTGTACTTACCCCGGGAAGATTTGAGGATAGTACTATATAGACGAATGAGGGCGGTTAACTGTGTTCTCACCATTGTAACTGAAAACGCCTAAATATTCAATGGAACACTGTAGTCTAGTCAGATCAAAACAACGCTATTCTACTAGCACTTTTTATTCTTTTTGTTGAGAAATCAGCTGATCGAATCTCTCACGGTCAAAAATTTCGAACGTTTCGTTCTACTCGTGATGAATTAACGTATACATACATGTGAAGAGGGCGACTGCTGAGAAAGACCGTTGCGCGCCAAAGTTATGATGCTTGTGTAGAAACTATCATAGGAGCTTACGCTTGAACCAAATAAAACAACTAATTAGGTAACTGACGGTTCTGCAAAGTAAACTACTTAGAACTTCGATATAAAACTAAAATTTCATATGGCTGGATCTCTCTCGAGCAGATATACACAAATATTACGTACGGCTGCTTCTGCTTTACATAACAGTTATGGCTTAACACTTATTCATTTAAAAAGAAAGGCCGATTAACTGTCTAATAGAAAGAGTAGTTTACAAAGAAACCTTTAGATAATAGCCTCTTTTATTGAATGCGTTTGTGTTTACCTATTACTAGAATTGTTAATTGCTCCGCCAAAAATTGATTTTATATTATGATGAAAATTAATTAGTTTGCTGAAATACTAAAAACCATACGTTAAGATGTAAGTGGTAGCATAACACATAATTTCGACCTGAAACATATTTATTACTACACGATAGTAAAAATAACACTAATTTGCAATTTTTGCGCGTAATATAAGCATACACCATAGTACGTTAGGCGACGTTTCGACCAATAAATTTCATTGCATACTCAATGAACAAATTCTGGTGAATTTCCCTGCAAGTATTTGCAGCACAGCGGTAATATATCGTGTAAACAAATAAAATAAAAATAAGAATGTTTCACACATGAAAAAAAGTGTATCTTCTAATTGGTCGTTGGCTACTTACTGTAGTGAGTCTACCAAATTTTAGGTTACACTGGTCCGTGTATGCCTTAATCAGATCGGATAATTTGCTAAAAGTATTTCAATTGAATTATTGTAAAATGTCATTATCTGTATGTTACTGTATGTAGAAGATAATTAGCCAACCGTAACAGTTTTTTTGTCTTATGAGTTACTTAGTGACCATAAAGAGGCGATAAGCATAAAAAGACTATGCTTGTATCCCTTCCGTTAGGGCTGTCAATGACACGTCTTTTATTTGGAGTTTTTCTGCGATTTGATTTTAAGTTATTTATTGGACTTACATAGCATATCTTTGTGAGCGGACACACCAGATAATATAACAGTTCTTGGATAAATCATCATTACGTGTAAAAATTGAGCTACTATATTACTCACCAATCAAACGCTATACGGCTATAATGTTCTTAAAAAAAGTGAGAAGAAAATGTAAACTGGCATCTGAGCAGAAAATATCTGATGAAGCTAAAAGGTGTTAAAATGAGCCATGATAGGAAGAATCATTAATATTACATAACTTCTATTTTCGCCCGTAAGAGACAACCAGGAAGATTTTTTTTAAACGCAAGGCAAATAACATCAAAACGAATAAAGCTTTAGAGATATTCAAATAGGAAATGCGTGTATTTTGGTCACTAAATCTTCTTTTTTCTAAATATGCATTCTGCCGTAACAAATTGACTTGGATATATGAAAAGTCGCCCTGGGTCTTCATTAGAGCATGCCTTAAAAAGCGCCGCGAGCCAGAAAGTAAATGTAAATTACACTGATTAATTAAACTCTACTAAAAAGAATATACGCCATAGGTCTCTTAATGTACGTTTACTGAAATAAATGATTAAGTAGAGTAAAATTATCATTTAATTAAGAGCTACCTTCGCGCAACACATTAACGATGGAGAAATATATGCACATATTTCTACGAATTCTGACAGTAATTTCATTTTACACAGTATGATACAATACGAATCTCCTCTATTATAGCCTATCTACTATTACCTAGATTTTAATATTATTTTTAATATAGTTAATATTTTTAATAACTTCTTTTATTATAGGTAAATCATACATTATAATTACTGTCTTACCTGTATTATATTAAATCATATTCATCTAGTTATGCGGTTGATGGACGTTTTCATACAACTTCAAATTTCACTAGTGTTAATATAAAGATATTTTACAATAACCCGTTTGAACGTTGTAACTAAATCAAGCGTGCAAATCCCCCTCCGGAGGCCAACAGCAAGCAGTGCAGGACGTCAGTTCTTAATTGCCGGTAGCCTTACAAATTCCACTTGGTGCGTTATTTTGTTGTATGCCTTAATGAACGAGTAAGTGCAGTCTTTCCTTCAGCATTTTAAAGGCCGACAGAGCTTATTACTGCGGAAGCGGTAAAGGGATGCCGGTTACAAGAAAGCAAGGAATGTATTAGATTGGAACACTTTTGGTTCTTTTGATTTTACTTCTCCACTGTTGTTCACTTATATACGATAATTTAGATAAATAATGTTATCCTGATACATTATTTAAAAGTGCTCTCTCTCCCCTCTATAAATCCAATGAACTTTGATTGTGCAGTGAACCGAATTTTATGCCGAGTTTGGGCTCTAAAAAAGAGGTTCCAGGTAAAAAAAAAAAAAGTACATTTCTGATGCATTCCTACTCTGATTCGTCTCTCGATAAGGTCAAATTGCTGCCGAAGGCTAATAGAAAAAGTGGGACCAGGCCTTGCCGACGAAAAAGTCGTTCATCTTTTCGACAATGTCGGGCCACGCGTAAATTTGTGAAAGTCGTTTTACAACATCCCAGTTGGAAGGTCTGTGTGTATCATATTTTACAAATCCCACTCCCACTGATTATCAAGTTTTCCAGTCGGTGCTGAATGAAATCAATAGCCGTACATTAGACAATGGTTGGACGAGTTCTTTAACATCATATCTAAAAAGTCTAAGAAGGAATATTAAATAAATAGGCTAGCAGATGGAAGAAGATTGTGGAGGATGGAGGCGAATGAATAACGCGCTAATTATTGCTAGAATTTGAATGAAACACTGAAATCAATACTTTTTTGATATTATTTTTTTTTTGTCAAATATTTCAGATACATTCGGCAGGTACGAGGCCAAAACAATAGGACGATGATCGTCCAGGCCATCTTTTGTTTGTCCAATCCATTCATATATGTCATATGGCTTGTGTAAATATACGTCGTTATTATACAGCGATATATTTCTTAATGACACCTTTATCTATATAAACGTAGTTCCTGCATTGGATATTGATAATTCGCCAGGGCTTTACACTGTTTAGCAGTGATAGCATTGCCTTGTGCGTCCCTATTCAAAGATGAAAAAGGGTGAAGATATATGTTTATATATTTCAGAGTATAGCTGGAACCTTGATGGCTAAACCGCCGGACAAAAAACCAGCGACAGCTAATCAACTCCGCATCCGTTAATCATTCTATTATTCGCGTTATATCTCAAAGTACGGCAAAATAATCTTCAAGAAAAAATAATGGCATGACTTTCTCTCTTCTAATATTTTGGAATATATCCTAAGATGTGTTATAAATATAGTTCAAAGCTCTTGTCATATTAAGAAAAATAATAGAAAAACAGCTTTTTTATTCCTGGGAAATTCTGGTCGAACAATTTAACCTGAACTATGCGTATTGGCAGGTTGCGTACTTCATATGTTCAACGAGAAAAAAATTGCTGCACTTAAAAGCGCTTAAAAAAAATTGGGCTGAACAATAGACTAAAAGTAATTACGGTAAACGTATACGAATACTCTCGACTATTTCCCCTCAGTGGTGTATTTCTTATTGAAAGCTGTTATTATCAAATAGCAACGAAGCTATTTTAACTTAGTTATCCGTTATGAGACATCCTTCAAACAGAGAAATTCAAGAATAAGGCGGAGTAGAGACATTATTTTTCTATTAAATATTGTAAAATCAAAAACCAAATGAAGTAACCTAACCAAATAAAGTTACTAAAAATAAATAGTTTCGATGTATACATTTTTTCAACAGCGCTCCAGTGTATGCTTTCCGGGCTGCACACATATCTGATTGATGACTGCCACACCTGAGGCAGTATAAACAGACAGCTACACAATTTAGAAGCTAAGAAGACTCATTTCGAGGGCGTATATGCGTTTGTATATGAATAGTGATGCTCCACTAGGTAACATTTGATCGCATGAAGTAATGGTTAACGACGATAGCGAGGGTGAAAGTCAAAACGTTTATGTTACACGTAACTCGTGTGAAATATATTATGGCTTATATATACATTTCGGATATACGGACAACGGACATTTGCGATCTGTTTGGATAACAGAGCGTGCGAACGTAGGTTTATAAAAGGAGGAACAACCAGAAATAAAATATAGGGTCAATATGGTGATGCAGAGCTTTACATATAGTCATAACTAAGCACATATCTGTTATTGACATATGCACGATTGGCATGTGTATTATTAAGCGTAACTGCTGTCTGTCGATACAAATATAAAAATACCTCGAAATCCTGAATCTGTTCAATGTCCACCAGTTCTAGTCGTTGCGTGATTTGACCTTTTTACTAATCACCCTTTCTAATCTTTTTATGCGTTTTAGTGGAACAGTAGCCAAAAGAAAACAACTAAAGAGTAACAGAATGACCCATGATCGGAAATCGAGCTTAGAGGCTGTGATGGTTTTGGAAGAGAAACAAAATTAGATGACAAGAACTAATCCGATCGCTCTGCAAACCCCGTAAGGAGTAGTCCGCAAACCACTCTGCCGACTCTTCTATGACGACGGAACGAAAAATCGTAACAAAGACGGAAAACATTTATTGAGTAGCTAAGAAAGGGCGAGTTTCCGTTCTGGCTTCTCCGGAATATTGCTGCCGCGATCAGTAACAACAGCTGCACAGAGTCAGCGCATTTCTAGTATCATAATCTCAACGACTTTACAATAATCGCTAACTGTGTTGGTGACGAAAGTGGTGAAGAGCGTACGAACTGTTATTTTTATTAAAGGTGACACCAGATACGCTTGTCGTGAGTTGAAGGATTGTTGGCCTGTGGACGAATCAATCTGATCTGTTATTAACAGCGTAGTTGTACGATACAAGGATTGTGACATTGACGCCGTAACTACTTTCCTTACCGTAAGTAGAGCGCATACACTGAATTTTTATCTATGAGTTAGAACTAAAAAGAAGGCAGTACAGTACAGTTATGATATAACATACGCACACGGCCAGGTGCATTAAACCCTAAACAAAAGTAGGAGTTACAACATTACTGGTCATCACCTTGAAAAACCGTTTCTTTAGTTGTCCTTTATAATCCCTAATGAAAGTTTGTATTTTTGGAAAAGCTTAGTTAAAACCCGAATATTAGCACGACGCTTATAATCAGAAATACTAATAAGAATCGTTTGGCTTTGAAAAACATTGTCTTACCTAAAAACGCTCATAACGATTATATCGTAGATTATCGTTTATCTGAAACCGTATTCTTGCATTGGTGATGTAAATAATTTATATTTTGAAATTTCGCTTTTTCTGCATTTTTTTTCAAACGCGGCTCTGCCTTATGGAAATAGATAGCTCTAGGGCACCATATACCCTATCTAATTCGACTGTACAAAGAGTTGAATTAGTTGAGCAAATTCGATAATTTAATTGGCATAGCGTTTAAGAAAACTACTACGTCAATTCTCACAGAGAATTTTCGGTTGTAAAAACTCATTAAGCAGTACTGACCTTTCAGTACAAAGACGCGAGGGCAAACGTATGCTATCACCAATAGATATGCTTAAATTGAGACAACTATATATATACAGTTCAAGAGAAACCCAAGGTTTAACGATATTAAGGCAATTTTCCATGCAATCCCTTTTCATTGTTCACGGTACCAGTACGTCCTGAGTAGTGACGTTTATTTTATATCTCAAAAAAAAAGGATAACAGTGCGGAAAATTGTTTTCAAAGGTCAACAGGATTTAGGTAAAATCCGATTGGCAAGGTATCAATCGAAGCTTTTTCGCATTGCATCTCATGTTTTTTTCTTTATTTTGTAATTATGACCATTAGAAGAACATTTTACAGAACAGACAGTGAAGATAAATTGCACAAAAAATTACATTTGAAACCGTTAGTTGATCTCTTACAGGGCTATATAATTTTCAGAGTACCCCATATGTATACAGGATATTTAGAACGGATACAGAATATAAACATATCATTCAATTCACAAAAAATGTTTGTATTATGAACACGCATTTTATGAAGCCAACCACTTACTTGCTTGTGTCTGTGTGCTATTCAAATCGTTAGCTTAAAATACACCGTAGTCTAACTCTATCGGTGTTTATCTACCTTTAAGGCCCGATTTTTCTCTTAACGCGTGATTCGGATCTCTAGTAATTTGCATTTTGGTATTACGTCTCCGACAGTTTCATCTAAATTATTGCGTAAGTGCCTTTTTATGTCATCTCTATTAATATATTCCGACGACTATGCAGTACTATATTTTAAAAAGTTACAAATTTCTGAAACGTTGTATTATTTTCTTTGTTTTGTACTGCATATCTCCCTCACATTGCGTAAGGTTTGATTTATAAGGTACGGTGCACTACTCAATAGGACCGACCCTAGGGCAAAACCTGTCCTTGAGATTTTTGTTTATTTTGTTAAAACCCAGGGGTAGAACCAGTAAAACAAGTGCCACGAATTGTAGTTAATAAAAAAAGAATATACACGAAAAATGGGTCTCGAGACACAATTCATAATAAACTTTAGAGCGACAGAATTATGTACGAGAACGAAATGTAAATTTTATTATACTTCTCTAGGGTCATTGGCCATTCAATATCCGTCGTAATACTTTGCAAAAAATATACTTTCATGATCGAATAGTACATGCTCTGCGGTATATGCCGTAAACGAGGTTAGCATCAACAGCCCTGGCTTCTTCAGCAACAAGCCATTGGAGTCGTTGTGCCAAAAAACATAAAATTCTATATGAATGGAGAACGGGTGCCGCCATCGACGTGACAGAACCGAGTAGCTTCATTGGAATCTAATTTAAAGCACGCTGCTTTAATGGACACACATGACCGTATGCCAGAGCAGTAACTGTCTATTTCCTAGAGTCATAGCACGCTCTGCTTTTAATATAGTAACATGTTTCGGCGACGTGCTGCGAAACTCAGGGACGTTATACTAACTAACTCTATTCAATATTTGACGGCAGAAATTTTAGGTAGTATTCAAGAGTAATGCTAAATGATAAACTAGCACGCTCTGAAAGCCACGCAATTCATAGTTTCTATCTTTGAAATGCTTGTTATAAACGTAATATGAATGTGTAGTACGCAATTGAGCATACACATCATAGTTAAAATATCATAGTTACTGATTGATGCAGACATATCTCTCAGCCCCCAACTGTCGTGCGTAGGCGTTGACTGAATGTAGAGTTAATCATGCAAAGTTCTTGCTTGCCTTGTGGAAGTTTAGCGAAATACAAATTCGAGAAGTCCGTTTTAGTGATTTCCAAACTTTAATTTAATTAATTAATTTAGTTTAGGAGTTAATTTTTTCTCACAGCACCATTGTGTTTTGAACTTTATTCACCTGAAGGCTTAAAGCTTTTATTGTTTTCGCAAAAGAATACCTTTATAGACATGTTGCCTCCTTCCATACATAAATCTCAAATAGATCATCTAAATATGTTATTTCATATCATCTAAGCCATCGTCCAGAAAAACGGCGCTACTTGAAAGATCGAACCTGAAAGGGGACGGGCCGTCATTAAAAACGTAGACATTTCAAATGTCTCATGTAAAACGTTTCTTCTATTTATCTGCGGCTCATGCGAATAAAACTTTTGGCACAACATGTATTGCATGTAGTAACGGTAGTAAAATTCCTTGCATTAACATTGAAAGGTGATTAGGTAACTGAAGGAAATAATAGAAAGTTAAAATAAGCACTTATAATATTAGGCTGTTAGAAGTGGATTCGGTGAACTATGAACTTGAACAAATTGTAAGCTATATTGAAAACATCTTTTATTCTCGAAAGTCAACTCTCAGTAGTCAAGTTTTTATCTTCCGAAAGCCGCAGCGCCGTGGAAATTCATCGAAAATTGGAGACAATATTAAACAAGGAGGCTTTGAACTAAGGTACAGTACAATGGTCATACAGACGTTTGAAGGACGGGGATTGGTGTGTTGAGGGCTAGCGAAAAGACGACCAGGTGTCCAGACTAGAAAACGCTTCACTGCAGTCGAGAAGGCTTTTTACGAAAGCGGAACCTAAGAATCTACAGGTTCTGTTAGGCGAAATTGGTATTTAGCATATAACACGCTACAAAATTCTAGTACAAATACTAAAAATGCAAAAAAAGTAAAAAAAATGCATTTCCCGTAAGTTGTCTTCAAGTCAGTTACAAATGCGTTAGGTAAACTGGACGTGCGGAACTTTCAACAATAAAAAATCTACTTGGAGCATACGGTTGCCATAAATAAGTTCGATTTCGCCGTCTACCACCAGCCGAAGAGGAGCCAGGCAAGGGAAGAGCGTCGCCCAGGAAAGAAGTGAGATTCGTTAATAGTGTCGAGCAAGTTCAGATGTAAGGTGATGGTAAGACTTGCAATGGACATTAGAGACATCTGCTACTATCAGATACTCGTCGAAGATGAAACAAGAAATGTAGCCCGCTATCTCGAGTTTCCCAAGAGATTGACAGATTGTTGGCACGGCAATCAAAAGTACCGGTTACATGATGACATTATGAATGATAGATATATGGCTGTCCAAAGCCTACCAGAGCACTAAAACGAGTGTGCAAAAATAAAGGAGAGTATTTTCAACATATATTGAAAAATAATCGTTTTAGCCCAACCAGTTCAACAATTACTAAATCACATTTAACAGACAATTTGTAATAGAGTATTGGCATAAACTTTTTGTTTCCTTGGACAATTATCGGCTTTTGTACTATTTATTCACTAAACATTCTGTGCACCTTGATTGACGGTTGTTACAGAGATAATAAGAATCAAATACGGCGGACGCATATCATAGAAACTGAGTGACGGTGTGTGACAGCAGGACTGTATTAGCAAGCAAAAAAGTAGCATCAGCAGCAGGACGATAACAACAACAGCATCACAACACTGTCATAACTAGTAGTAACCGGAAGAGGAAAAAGCAACGTGATCAACGCGAATGACTTTCCGCAACGACAACAACGACACCCTATTCCTGTTCATTTCGTTTTCTTTTATTGCGCCGCTTCTAATCTTTTTTCTTTTTTGGTTTGGCTTTACTTCTGATGCTTTTCCTTTTTTCCCGCGATAAAAATTAGCAGTAGGCTGCGTCTCTCTGTCTCTCTCACGTTCTCGCTCTTGTTGTATAGTGAGTTTTCTTTTCTCTTGACGTCGGTGTCTGATTATCGTCTGGCTCAGTGCGCGTATATTCTGTTCATCATTTCCTATAGAAGAGTTGTTTAAAGAGGCTTGTAGAACTCTGGCGCGTGTGCGTGTGTATATAAACATTAGATGACCTTTTTGTCGGATTTTTTTCGATAAATGTAGGCACGCGCTCAATCTAATCAATTCTGTCAAACCTGCGACACTCAAGTCTTATTTGGTCTTTGGAATTTAGAGCTAAAAACATTCATAGCAGAAGAAATGGCAAACCGCCAACGAGAATTGACGTAGCACGATAATATATTATACCAGCGATTGTTGGACGTGGTTGATATTGCCAACGTCCAATTAATGAACGGACCGTTATCTATTAACGGCGCGTGCATATCGTCTACTTAGTGGTTGAAGTACTTTGTGTTGCTTGTTTTTTTCTCTAAACGATTTCTAAAACTCTAAATCTCTAAAGGATCTAAAGAAAAACGGCATTTTGACTATGAAAAACAGCCGGACTGAAGAACTCCTTTAGAGGCGATACGAGAGCTAACTGCATTCTATACAATTGTTTTTAAATATATAGGCCTGTGTATGGGCACGTAATCATCATACAGCTATTCCATACAGGTGCCATAAATAAGTCTTTCTAATCGCATCTAATACTGGAGACACCGGGGAGCTAACCTTGCCGGTGATAATATTATGGACCAATAGAAGGCATAATGTGTGAATGAAATAGAATCACAAGCCTAAAGAATAGGACAAAGCAGATTTTATCGTTTAGAGATTCACTTCAGTAAGCAAAAGCCACGGTCACCTTCGAAAAATGATGCCCTTATCGTGGCCTCTTCTCTCAGCCTATTTTCTCGTGGGCATGCTGGCTATTGCCTTCGGGAAGTGTCCAACCCAATGCAGATGCACGTAAGTAACAAACATGCCACAAAAATTGTGTTTTCTGAACTAGAGTCAAAAAAAATATAGCTATGAGCTACATATGGGCAGAATACCTGTATATTCAACCATAAAATGAGTATATAAAAAATACGGTATTTGTTTCATATTTGACACAATCGAAAACTCTGTTCCACGGCTAGCGTCCTTGATGATTTCTTATATTGGTCCCTTTGGACTATACGCCTCGGGAAGGTAAAATAGCTATAGTCAGAAGATTCAAGTAATTATTTCGAACAAGGTTTAGTTGTTCGGTAATGTTGTACTTTATTTTTCCACTTAGACCAAGTTCCTAAGTCCAAGATTCGAGTAAACACACGATTATATGGTTTGGTGCTTATTTTTTTAAGGACCCATAATGAACAGACACATAGCTTATCCTGTAAGGTTCTTTTTTAGTTGAACTTTATTTTCAGATATGCTAGTTTAAATTACCTTTTTTCTTATTCTCTACTTTATTACTAAATTAAAATAGAAAAAAAATGTTCTCAAGAAACGGTAGTGTTTATTGAAAATCACCGTTGTTTTCTTAAATCATCAAAAAAAAAAAAACAGAAACTCCAGTTACATAAGACATTGCCTTTATCATCCTGCTTCATAATTCAGGTAACTGATACTTTCTTACACAAGGTTCGTAACTATTTCTCGCAACATATACTATTATTTTTGTGTATATGGGCCCCTTTTGCCTTAGTGGCTGTATTGATTAGTAATGTTCGAGGCAACAAACAGATAAAAGTTCTTGTTGACAAGACGCTCCAAGTGACGGATACTGGACTACGAAAGTAATCTATATCAAATGTGATTGTCTCCTTTTGATAATCTATTCGGATTAGCGTGCATCCTGCCTTTGGCAAGAATCTATACTTTTTAGCTGTTTGATGTATACTTGGAAACTGTGTAGCCACTATAGCAAGGCTTTGTTGTTTTTACTTTATTTTAGATCGTTGGAAGTAATTTGCTCCTGTAAATCGGGCGACAGCTTCATCCTATCCGAAATACCAGCAAATCACTTTACCTTATCAATCTCTAACTGCAAAAAGGTAGGCATTCAACAAGCATAACTCTCCTATACGTCAAATGAAACGTTGAAGTAGATATAATTGTATGACGTGTTTCCGTGACACCGTTTTCAACACGAAGAATAAATAATAGAAATAATTGGTTTTCTTTGTGCTAGAGGTGTTAGTAGACTTCTGCTTTAGCGAATTTTTCCTTTGCAGTTTCAGCAATGTCAGCATGTGCTAAAATTGGCTCACGCCCTTTTGCCCGGAAACACCTACACATTTGCTATCTCTCTAGCCAACTTTTCGAGTGGCTATATCGAGAGAAAATTAATAGAATTATTCTTAATAATGTTATTAATCTTTCTCATTTTTATACCCTTTCATCTGAGAGTTGATTCTGTTTATGGTTTGCATTATTATTAGTTTCCGAGAATAATCATTTGGCAGTTAACAGTAGAATGATATATTTTATTATTCAATCATTTTTAGGTATAATATTTTTATTTTTTAATGGTATCAAATTTTATATTGGTAAATGAGTTAAGAATGAAATCGTTCAAATGAAATTAAGATTAGTAATAGCTATCAAATGGGGCTTATTTCCAGTTCATTTTAGATTACGAGAAGCATTTAGATAGATTTAGTAGTAGACAGATGTTCATTCCTTTGTTTATTCTTAGAGTTATAGGTATGTATTATTTAAAAATGTTTGTAAATCCAGACAATTTTATATAATATTTAATAAAATTCTCACGGAAGATTTTAGTTTATTCATTGTGAATTTTCGAAGAAAGGAATCATTCAGAAAAGTTGTTACCTTGCTTAGAAATTGTCGGTATTCCTGTACTAGTGCAGTCTGTATCGATTGTGAAGCTTCTGTTATACTTCAAAATGCGGTGCCACCACTTTCCTGTGAGTTGTACGTACTAATTACTTTTAAGTTTTAAGTTTAAGTTTGAATTTATCTCTGGTTATTAATTTGCAACTATAATGTTGCACGAACTATACTCTTACTTATACGTAATTACCTGTTGTAGGTTCGAATCCACGGAACCCCATTTAATCGAGGAAGTTTCGATAGGTTTGTGATACAAGACTCGTCCGACGTCTACATTGCCGACATCAGTTTCTTCGGTAAAACACCTTCCACCAACCTAATTTCCTTTAAGCAAAACTAATCAATAAAACATCATAAAAGGCAGAAACAAAATGTTACCAAATCAACTTAATTTTTTTTAGTACAAAAGGGACACCAGTCCTACAACTGAATTCTGCAAAGGTCTCACTCATATCACACACTTCTTTTCTACCCTTAGTAGTTTCAAATTATGTGCTATGACCCGTATAGCACTACCTATACGATCATGCACCAAAAAAAAAAGCTTGGTAAACTTGTACTATTGTTTTAGCTTATTTACGAACGTCAACTCAATGGGTTTCATCTTCGGCACTGCATATATCCTATTCAAGACTCGCACCAGTGGATTAGATATCTGGGTCACTGTGACCGACCTGTTAGATAACAATCTGAAACATTCTGAAATCACACTTTCTTGTGATTTTAAAGCCTTGTTTACACTTTATTATATATTAAGAACGTCAGTTCTTAAGATTTGTATGTGTATACGCCAACAATACGTATAGGTCACGAAGGAAAAGCGAACCGAAGATTTGTGTTCAGAATGTATGTAATTTTTGGAAAGTGACCAAGCCCATTATACTTTTAGCTAATTTCTAAGTTCAGTCTATCAGAAGCCGATCGGTCTATTCTATCTTTATTGGATTTCAAATCATTCAAAGCCACCCTTATTAGCTTTTAGACTGAAAACAGACTGCAACGAAACTGACGACTGGTAGACAAAACGATTCGCTTCAGAAGACAATAAAATCATCGTAAGGATGACGGTCACCTTCAAGGTGCGAGCTTACAATATAATTATAGGTGTATGAAGCTTCAAAATAACAACTAGTGGTGCCTTGAACACAATAAATAACATCAACGGCGCAAGGCAGAATTCAGTCATTGGTCTGACTTCGATGTCTTGCCTATGGATGAAGGATCATTTCTCACATTCCTTGTTTCGGCGGGTCATGCCACAATCGGTTTCAATTTGTTATCTGACACAGCTACTGTCAGAGTGTAAAAATATGGTGAGGATTTTTTGCAAGACTGTCATATAAATATTCATTATATTTCTCTTATTTAGGCTCTTTGTATGCGGACTTTTGATCTTTGTTTTCTCCATATAAATATATTGTGTGCACCAACATCTCACTGGTTATATTGCTGTTTTTGTCTCGCGTTAATAATATTTTGTTTCTGTAAATTACCCTAAAGCTAGAACCAAATCAAAGTGCAAGATTACATTACAGAACCTAGCAAAATTAAAGCTTCGTTTTAAAAACTCGAAGTCTTTTTTTCGACACACAAATAGGCTCTTCGAAAAAGAGCAAATCTACGAAACGAAATTTAAAATTTTGAAATGTTTTCGCGAAAGCAACAGTTTAACAGTAAAGCGATTCACTTTGTTAGTTTTTGTAACCTTAAGAGGAAATATATAGATAATTACAGGCTGAATCGTCTATGACACGTACTAGTTTTCAGAAATGGGTACTCATATAGCGTTTGTGTTAGATCTAAATGGTGTTACAAAAAGGAAATCAGCACCTATGTTGCCGAGTCATTTGGTTGAAAAGCACTAATGTAAGGATGCAAAGACAATTTACAAATTAAAGGTGGTTTCTACAGTAAAGATGACGAAATAGATAAACTGGGCAATCATAAGAATAATATTAATATGAAATAGCCCGATTGTGTATATTTCGATGTTACTAATACCTTGCGTAACATAAACTAATCTAAGGCGCTTGTCCTAATTGAAGCTTTTACCGATAGGTTTATGATATTTTAGGATAGACTGCCTTCTTAGTATTATTACATATATGTATATATATATATTGGATGAAGCGAGTTACAAACAAGCGATTAATTTAGCTGTGGATCGTTTCTTTTTGTTACTTCATACAGACACCTAAATTTTAGTTAAAGCCGCGTGAAGCTTAGTTGTTTCTGAAGCAATTTACTCTTAACAATCCAGCGATTGTCTTTCAGATTGGACACATAAAGAAACTAGAGTATTCTAGATGTTTGCGCTGATAAAAGCGAAGAATCCTAAGCTTGTCCAAAAGAACTACTTCCGCTTTACATAGCGTGAAATTAAAAGCATATATCTGTAACGTACGATATATTCGGCTCCTATTGTTGATCTAAGCATGCCTTGGATATGAAACTGTACAAACGTATTTCAATCAAATGTGTACAAAACGCGATTAGGTTTAATATTTAAACAACGTAATCATATAAATATTTGCTAATTCTAGAGTTAAAATGAGAAGGTACATAAACATAATCTGGTTGTTACAGTACTAAAATCACATTTACCATGACCCATTACAATGGGTAAAATCATTACTTGTGATAATAATACTGATATAGTCGGTAGATACGACTACAATGTCCTCATGCTAGCTTAGTGGATAATGTATTTGCATTTTAATCTTAGAGACACGTCGTGGTCAAGATTCGAGCCCGGGCATAGGCACACTTAGTTTTGTGCTGGAAGCCGCCCGCCTAGTGGAATGCCTCACGGCTAAGTTGGACATAAAACTTGAGATACAGATATATTTATTATTTAGCAGAGGTACTGCTAAAATGTATAATGTATAGAATTTTTTGAATTTTTAAAAGCACTGTTTAGGTTATTTTACTATTGGCTGTATCTTGCATTGACTGTAGGTAGCCTATAATACGTAACAAAGATTGCAACGTTCCTAGTTCGATCTTCATCAAGAACCCAGTTATTTCGAAATTCTATTTACTTAGATGCTTGATACGAGCTCACCGTACGGTTACATAATAATGCCTACAATACAATCGGATCGCTTATGTATCCTGGATAGCCAAGTGATCTAGATAACGTTTGCCTTACGTCAAATGGCAATAAGCAAAAGGCTGCATCGGAAACTATAGTAGTTGAAAAAAATATATTTAACCCTTGAGGACATGTTTTGATTAAAAAAAACAACTTATCTTCTCTGTCAACAGGTGTAATATTGATTCGTCGACTGAAATTTTCAAACATCGCAAATCTTACTTTAGGGTCCTTATACAACCTGAAAACAGACATATTTGAGATGGACAACGTGACCATTGCAGTGCTAGACAGGGGAGTGATACCTGGTAAGTATAGACTACCTATCGACAGTATTTATATCAATATCGCTCAACGCAGAAGTGCCATTTCCAAAATTGTATGACTTCATTTACCATACATTTATAAAATACTGAGTTTTTTTTTTCTTTCATATGTGTACAAAATCATAACTATAAAAGATTTTTTAAAAGAAGCGACCGGCTTTAGCGGCTTATAGATCCTCGCGGCTCCTTCGCTTGTGCTAGTGTTTAACTGCCTTCCCTTGAGTAAGACAAGTATCGTCATTTCTTGGTAAGAAATACTAAAGACCAAGCTACTAAAATGAATAAGCTACCATAATCTTTTCTGCAACAGCCTGAATGTTCTTT